AGTATATCATCAGGAACTTTTCTATAGAATTTATATTTTTTTTAGCAAGTTTTCCTGTAATTCCTTTTTGAGAAATAGGCATAATATAATTTGTAATAAATAAAAACTACCAAAATTTTTTTTAATTTTTTTCAAAATTTTTTTAACAAAGCATGGGTAAGTTTATAAGCTAAAATGATTTATTTTAATAAGCACTATCAAATGATTGTTTTTTTTTATATTACACAAAAATCACTTATTCTTAAAATTTTCCCATCATAATAAATTACCCAAACTTCAAACTTATGTAACACTAGCAAAATTCATTATTTTTTAATCTAACCCGATAAGTTTAAAAGCTCTTGATATGCTTTATTAAAATTATCGGTTAGAATTTTAAAATATTATTTTTTGCTAATGTGATATCTTTTTGAAAATGTCACATTATGACTATAAAATTGGATCAGTTATAGAGCTGTCTCTTATACACATCTAGATGTGTATAAGAGACAGCTGAAACGCATCTTTTAATATTATTTTATCAAAAAAGATGCTTCGGCATCTTTTTCATTTTTTTTATCATAAAAGATGCCAAAACGGCATCTTTTCGTATTATTTTATGAAAAAAAGATGCTGAAACGCATCTTTTAATATTATTTTATCAAAAAAGATGCTGAAACGGCATCTTTTAATATTATTTATAAAAAAAGATGCTGTTCGGCATCTTACTCATTTTTTTTATCAAAAAAGATGCTGTTTCGGCATCTTTTCATATTATTTTATGAAAAAAGATGCCGAAACATATCTTTTAATATTATTTTATCAAAAAAGATGCTTCAGCATCTTTTTCATTTTTTTTTTATCAAAAAAGATGCCGAAATGGCATCTTTTAATATTATTTTATGAAAAAAAGATGCTTTTTCACTTTTTTATCAAAAAAAATGCTGTTTCAGCATCTTTTCGTATTATTTTATGAAAAAAAGATGCTGAAACGGCATCTTTCGTATTATTTTATAAAAAAGATGCCGTTTCGGCATCTTTTTCATTTTTTTATCAAAAAAGATGCCGAAATGGCATCTTTTCGTATTATTTTATGAAAAAAAACTGTTTCGCAACGGTTTTTAATTATTTAATAAAAAAACGTTGCGAAACATTTTTTTATTTCATTTTAACGAATAAAAACCATTTCGCAACGGTTTTTAATCATTTTAATAAAAAAATGTTGTGAAACGTTTTTTTATTTCAATTTAATGAATAAAAAAACCGTTTCGCAACGTTTTTTAATCATTTTAATAAAAATGTTGCGAAACGTTTTTTAACTTAACATTTCGCAATGTAACAGTGCGCTTTGATCTGATCTGATCCAGATCTGATCTGAATCTGCTCGAATCAAATCTGATCCGATTCGATTTGAATGAATTGTTGATCTGATTTGATTCAATCTGAATCGGATCAAATTTTTTTGATCCGGATCAGATCACGGATCATAAAATCTATGATTCGATCTGATCTGTCTCAGATCAGATCCACGAATACGAATCGGATCGGATTTTTTTCGGAACATTAGATATAGGATGGGAAGGGATTTTAAATGAGCGGCAAGTATAGATCTGGATAGGAAAAATGGATTATTCGAATAATCTGTATAAACTATCAATCATAATTCTAGCCAGAATTACGGTAAAAATTTCCTTTTTTGGTGATCATTATTACACAATATTTCAAGTTTAGTAATGCTTAAAAATAGAAAACAAATTTTTGTGAAATGGGTATCATCAAAAAAGGAAACCAGTAGTTATGCAAATATTAAATATGGTAATTTTAATATTCTGGCCAAAATTATGAAACAAAAATGCTAAAGAAAATATTCATCTGTACATCCGGATTATATATGAAGTCAAAATTAAAACCTAAAA